AATATTTTACTTAGAAAATATATAGCTAAAATTAATATATAAGTTTTTATTAAAAAAATTAAACTTTTTAATAAAAATACAGGCAAATTTGCCTGTGTTACAATTTAAGGGATAACATTTTTTCTCTCAATATATTGTTGCATAGATAGAACAATTGCAACAGCACTAATAGCTTTGATATATGCATCTGTAGTGTGAAGGTCATTTTCTTGTAAATCTATAAGAATGGTATCTTTCATGGAACGAGTGCTTCGTTTTTCTTTTAACCTAGTGTCATAATCATATGTAGTTAGTTCTTCTAATATTGTATCATTATCCATTACCCGAAACCCCCAACGTTGATTATGTGAAAAACGAAAGAATTTTATAAACTTAGTCTCTATATTCATCTTAATTAATTTTGCATCGACTAAGAGAGGGTTGTGAATATTTATATTCGAAATGGCCTGTTGTGTTGTGATCGGGTTCATTAAAATTGTTGCCAGATGTGCTGTATCTGATATAGTAGTCATATTTGGTGCCCTCTTTGTATGAATGCTGTGATAGTTGTCAATATTTAAAACTATTGCATTTTCCATATGTTGCGCAAGTGCAGAATCGACAGTGCTGGCATGTTCTTCAGATATAGCTGTCTTATGCCGAGTAACTGTACGAGACATTGTAGTTACACCTAAATTGGCAAGGGTATCTATTGAAGAATTAGACGCACCAGCAGAATCCAAATACATTGCTACATCGCTCTTCATATTATTCACAAACTTGTTGCGAATTCCACAAAGAAAATAATAGATGAATAAAAGCTGCTTTTTTATTTGTATCTGTGATTCTTTGCTTTTATTAAGTGAGTTAAACGATAAATATAATGCTTTAAAAAACAACTTTAACCTCTTATCTTTTTGTTCCATGGTTGTCTTGAATTCGTCAAATGAATATATTGTTGATTTTTTTTCTTTAACCTCTCGCTCGTATAAAATATTTGTCAATGACTCTATTGCTTGAGAAAAAGACAAAATGGAGTCAGTATCTTCAACTTCAATTTCAGCTTCAACAGACCTGATCTCTTCAAAATGCTGCCTAAATTCAATTGAACTGTTAATGGCAATGCCATTATAACAGTTTGAGCAAACTGTGTCACCTAATTGAAGATAACTTGGTAAAGTATAGTTGGATCGGGCTTTAGAAAGAAAACTTTCAGAAACCCTTCTCTATTGAGTTGATGCTTTTTGGCAAATAGTAATAACACACGGTCCAATAAGTCGTGGCATATTTTCCCTTAGAGTAAGTGCTTGGTTATGCTTTTATTATTTTAAATAGAGAAAGATTAACACTTAGAAGCTAAAAAGACTAGAAAATTGAATAAAGTACTTTAAACGATATAAATTACGTATAAATTACGCAATTGATCAAATGATAATTTGATTGGCTAATTATTACGGAGACTCGCGGGTAGATCTACAAAAATTAACCAATCAGACGAATGTCTTCCTATGACGGACCAGACCGGTTCTCAATTTATGGGACCGAAGTCGGTCCAAAAAGACAGGTCCGGACCATAGTCTTTGCAAGACCGTAATATCCATAATTAAAATATTTTGAGTTTAACATTTTATTAATAAAAAAATTTATTGCACATTAAAAATTTTACGTACTATGAATATATGTGAGCAAGCAATTCTAAAATCCTACTTAGATGTACTCTAATTTATATTGCTTATTTGATGTTTTTTGCCATGATATTTTTTGCATAATCAGTTTTGCTAAACATCACGGAAAAAACTTCACATGGTCATATTAACTATCGGATAACATCATTATTGAACATACGTACGACAAATAACAGCAAATTGTTTTTTTTCATCGGAGTTAATTTCACTCATGTGCTGCTACGCAGCACATGGAGTGACATTAATTCCGACAAAAAAAACAATTTGCTGTTATTTTTTGTCGTCTGTCCAATAATGTACACTTATATCGATATTATGCCACCAAGTTTCTCAATGTATAAACTTTTTTTTAAAAAAAAAAGAGATACATAAAATTTGTCAATGAATAATCTTTCCTTCATCGCTATTTTCGAATTAGTATGATCAATGAATTTTGTGAATCCCATGAATCCTGTATGTTGCTATTGTTTTGACAATGGTAACATGCAGGATTAAAAATTCATTGATCATACCGATACTAATTCGAAAACAGCGATAAAGAAAATAGATTTATGTGCAATCAATGTTACATTTCTTTTATTTTTTTATTAAAAAAAGAAATTCATTATCTGTTATGCGAAAAAACTGGTACCGCACGTATGTACTTACGTACGTACATACATAAACATCGCATATGCATGATGTTTTTAAACGTATTTTGGTGGTAATATTAAAAAAAAAATAAAAAAAAAGAATTTTTAGGGTACACTTACGTACGAATATCAAAAAGTAAATATCAAAAAATAGCAAATTCCGGGGTATCAAAATCGTTAAGTTTTGCCTCTGAGATAGAGTTGATCACAAGATACACAAGGGTATTTCGAGGTCTTTTGCAAGATAGAAGTAACCTAGGTAAATTGTGCCCAAATTAGTACGTACTTCATCAGAAATGATAAGATATATATGTATGAAACAGGAGAAAAGGAATATATTAAGAAAAAATTTGTTGTGCAAAAATACGGTATTTGTGATGCAGAGTGTCGGGCGGTAATAATGTCACAAAATCCGATACTAAAAGGGTTAAACTTTACTATTCATACATCATATCATTTTATTCAGATATATCTTGTTTATCTTGTTTGTGTGTATTTATTAAATATTTCATATTATTTGGTCGGAAGGCGTTTGTGGGAGTTTAAAAAAGCCACTGCAAAATTTGTAAAAAAATTTACCGTCAAAAAAAAATAAGGACCGATTAGAATGGAATGGTTCTAGCTTTACTCATACCGATACGTAATTGAATACACGGAAAACTCCACCTATGTGTAACAATCCAAACACAAAGCTTTTTTCTCTTTTTTGGTAAAGATAAAGTAACGAACTACTAAGAAGGAATAACTAATAATAACTTTAGCTTTATGGGGTAAGTTTGGACATCTGATTTGGGGGTTGACCAAAAAAGGAAAATAGCCTTAGCTTAAAATCACAGTAACGATGTAATGTGGCCAGTAGATCACTGAATCATTCGATTTTCTTTGATTTTTTTTAAAAATCAAAACAGAACGTTCGGATATGTACTACGGTTTTTATTCTCTAAGAACGTACGTACGTATTCATTATGATCATTTATATATTATTCTTTTTGTTCGAAAGTATGTATGTTCGTACGTACCGTGTGTATGTATGTACGTACGTACGTACATATTTTTAGTTCTATGCATATGTAGTACAGTTTCTCAAGTTTGATTGTTTTCCAGTTAAAGTTGTCAAATTTTTGTTTTCCAATTATACTTTGTTCTGAACACCTTTATATTGATTAATTAGTACTAACCGTTTCAAGAGTGTCTGAAGATAAATAATGCATTCTTCTCGAGGTAATAATAAACAAATTTTCTTATTTTTCTTTTAAAATCATCATTAGTGAATATTTTGATCTCATATAATATTAAATAGCAAATAAGTTAAATCAAGAAGAACCGCGTTCTTCAAAGATTCATAATTATTTGGTAATATAAACACTTTATAATTACTTGTTTTAAATTAATTATTTACAATTCAAAATTACTTTAAACGATAGCATCTTAACAAATTTATGGATCTCTTAACAATCTCTCAGTCACCGAATGGATTAAACCACCAAAATGTGGTCGATTCTGCATCTTATAGCCGTTCATATGGATTCTCCATAAAGTTTCCTAAAAAATTTTATCCAGCTAAACAAAAATCCATTAAAGCTTTTAAATCTAAAAATTATGAAGAAGTTATTAAATATTCAACAGAATTTCTTGATAAATATCCTGATAGTTATAGTATAAGATGTGATCGAAGTGAAGCATACATGAATCTAAGGGAGTATGAAAATGCAAAACAAGATCTAGATATTGCCATACGATACAAACCAAAGAAAGAACGTGGATTCTATCTTCGTGGCATGGTACATGATAAACTAAATCATCCAAATGATTCAATAAAAGATCTTGGTAGAGCCATTAAAATTAAATTTAATGATCGATTAACATTGGAAGCATTTAAAATATGTGCTAAACATTATAAGAACATTGGAAATTTTAATGATGCAATAAAAAACCTTGGATCTGCATTGGAATTAGAGTCACATGATGTTTGGGCGTTGAAAACTAGGGGAACAATGTATTTTGAGAAAAAAAGGTATAATCTTGCACTAAAAGATTTAACAGCTTTGCTTAAAGTTGAAGGGACAAATATTGAAGCTTTAGAATTAAGAGGAATAGTGTATGTGAAATTAGATCGTTATGATGGTGCATTAAATGATTTCAATACAGCATTACGATTAAAGCCTAATCTACTTCTTTCACTGGCATATCGATCAAAGATATTCAGAATAGAAAAACGTTATGTAGATGCATTGGGAGATATTGAAAAATATTTAAAATTTGGTGGTGAACTGAATGTTTCAGTACTTAAAAACAGAGGATTAGTGTATCGTGGATTGGCAAGATCTAAAGAAGCTTTGGAGGATTTTTCTGCGGCATTGCAGAAAGAAAGGAAAGGCTCGATTTTTAGGCATCGAGCTCATGTATATAAAACTTTGAGACAGTATCAAGAAGCATTATATGATCTGGATCAAGCGATAGAAATTCAAAAAACAGATAAAGAAGCTATCGCAATGCGTAATCAGATTTATACACAACTTAATAGGTAATTATATTATTATAATAAACAATTTATTTTGGTGTATCTTTATTATTATTAATATTAATTTTATATTAGATTCGATGATGCATTGAAAGGATTAACAATGTCATTGCAAGTAACACCAAACGATGTTAATGCACTTGCAGATCGCGGTACAGTTTACTATGCGATGGGCGAATCAAACGAAGCAATGGATGACCTTAACAAGGCCCTATCAATAGATTCAAATCACGTATCTGCCTTGTTAACTCGGGCCAAAGTATATCGATCTCAAAATGAGTATAAGTTAGCATTAAAGGATCTTGACATAGCAATTCAAACTGACTCATCTAAACCACGATTATATCGAAACAGAGGAAAAGTATATACATTAATGAATAATTATACAAATGCATGTAAAGACCTGGATTTGTCCCTAGAAAAGGAAAACCATTCTTCTGCATTGCGTTATCGAGGTCAAGCATTATCAATGTTAGGCAAATATAATGAAGCGATTTCAGATTTTGATAAAGTATTAGAAATGAAACCTAATTCAGCAGATGCATACCATGATCGTGGAGAAACGTTTTTCAAACTTGAGAAATTCACGCAAGCTCTTGAAGATTTAAACAAATCATTGGAATTTAAAGAGAATTCAAAATCATTTGAATTACGAGCATCTATACATGAAAAACTTGAAAATTACCAAGAGGCCTGCATAGATTTAAACAGAGTTTTACAATTAACGCCTGATAATCTCGAGATTTTATTAAAACGAGCAACTTTATGTGAGCGGCTGAAAAAGTACCAAGGATGTTTAGATGATTGGACATCTATTTTGAAACTTAAACCAAATGACATTCAAATACTTCAAAACAGAGGAAAGATATTAATGAAATTATGTAGATATGAAGAAGCTAAATCAGATTTTGATCAAATATTGAAAATTGATGCACAAAATATTGAAATTATAGCATTGAGAGCAGAAATTTTGCAGGAACAAAATAAATATGATGAAGCAATTAAAGAATTAACTGATGCAATAAATAAATTTGGAGATAAAGGTCAGTTGCTAGCAATACGTGGAGGAATTCATATGATGAAAAAAGAGTTTGACGAGTCTTTACAAGATTTAAATGGAGCTTTGAATATTGAGTATAATTCATCGTCGGATGATTCACAAAGTTTAAGAGATTTGGGTTTTATTAATAATTCATTGAACTTTTTCGATAATGAAGAAAAGGTGGAAGTGAAAGAGGAGGTAGTTACTTCACCTAAATGTGATATCAAATCACATGTTTTAGCATTGTGTTATCGTGGCTCTGTGTACAGAAATAAGAAAGATTATGACAAGGCATTAATAGATTTAAATAGTGTTTTGAATAATGAACCGAATAATGCCTTTGCACTTTATGAACGAAGCTCTATTTATAGGGATAACAGACAATACGATGAAGCTTGGATGGACATTGAAAGAGCTTTAAAGGTAGATATTGAGGTGGATGCGTGATGTTAAAAAAAAAATTTGTAAGATAAATGTCTTAGGTAATGCTTGAATTGATATTGAGAAAGGTTTGAAGGTTGATATTGAGGTAGATGTCGAAATATAAAAGATTAATGATTAATCTTGAATACGATCTAGTCTGTATTTGAAAAATGAATTATCAACTGTAAGCAAACATTTAGCATTAATATTTAATATTAATCAATTAGTTCTCATTACGCATGAGTTTTAAAAATGGCCGGCATATAAAAGCTAATCTAGGACTTTTTATAATAAAAATTTTTCAAAAAACTAATCCAGCTTGGTTATGAGAACCAGTTGAATTAATTTTATAAGATCTTATGTAAGAATTGTAAACAGATTCCCAGCTAGTAAATAAAAAGTACGTGATTATTATTTAAAGAAAACAGAATACACGATTATTAATGTATTGTTATCAACATAAATTTATGGTTAAAGGCAAAAATACTGTATCTTTTGATATCAAAGGTGCGAGAACTGATTTACAAATATATTATTTAGTGCATTAAACTTATTATACTGTTATACTAGTATCCTATTAGTTCATATAAACCAGACAATTAAAATGACTAGCATTTATCATGCATGAACTTATGAACGAGGTATTTAGTATAGTACAGTACGAGAGCATAAATATGTATAGACGTACGTACGAAAATTAAGCAAATTTTGATAGTACGTACGTTGAAAAAAAAGAACTTTTCGTACTAGTATTACAAATGCTTTTTATATTCTAGCTTTTTTTTTAATACGTAAGCGACGCCAAAAAAGTAAAATAAACTATTATATTATAATTGACCGTTAAATTATAAATTTACAAAGTTCGATTCCTAATTTGCTCGTATTCGATAGTTATTTAATTGCAAGTAAATTCAAGCGCATTTAATTTTTATTGAAATTAAGTACAAAGATAACTAAGCATATTTATTATAAAATAAATAATTTAAATATATATCTAAAATTTATAAACTCAAGCTTGCTTTTTAATTGCCAGTATTGTAATTAGATAGCCTCAGCAGCTTTTTTTCTAATTTTAATTTGACGTTCTTACAAGGCAATTATTTTTTCAATTCAACATCTATCATTTTTATCGTTATTTACTATGGATGTGTTTTTAACATTAAAAGTTGATTCAATTTCCGTTACTTTTTGCACCTTGAAACCAAGTCTCATGACATAATCTTTTATTATCATTGTTGATAATGGAATTAGTGATGGAGATTCTACCAAATGGTTATGATTCTACCGGTAGCTACCGGTAGGTGGTAGTTAACACTATCGGTAGATCTACTAGAATATGATTAATTTTCATAGCAATGTATGACATTATTTAATAACGATAATATAATAAATATACTCTATTGGTTAGTTAATGGTATATTTACCTTGCATATTATTAGCCTAACGGTGTCTACCGGTAGATACCAGTGGTAGATATCTACCGGTAGCTACCAACTCACATCACTAAATGGAATACATTAGCATTAGTGGATTTACGTCTTGTTATTAAATAAAAGAAATTTAATATATCTCTTTATAGAATTTTTTTGTCCTCTATAAATTAATTCGATTCATATTATCATTTTAAAAAAATTGTTTACTTGATCAAATTAAAATTCTTCGACGTAGAATATATTATACATATTTGTAGCGATCGAATATAAAGCCGAATAGCTACCATAAAGAAAGATATTGACAAGTATAGGAATCAACTTAAAATTAAGTCAAAAGTTTGAGGGTGTGCCAATTATTGTTTGATGAATAGGAATTGATAATATCATATCGTGTGTATGTATTTTAATTAATTCTTATTCGTCATACAGATGATTGGTCGCACCCTCAAATATTCAAAATATCGATCAGGCACTAAATATGTGATCGTATAATTTTTCTTTTTTTTAATGTTCGTACGTACTAACTTATATACTAATTTACTATATCAGATATACCCTTTGAACGTGGATTTTATCTCTTTATATATGTACAGCACGATTTAACCAATTTGATCATATCCAATCTATGTCAACGATATTAAAATTCAGTCAATCAATGACGACTAGTAAAGCATAAAAGATAAACTTGTTCCATTACAACATTATCATTGTTGTTCTTGAAAGATGATACTGTACAGTAATAACTACAATCATTATAGTTCGATAGTTCAATTATAAACCACTCGTGACTAGTGATGTGCCATTTATATGATACCTGAAAAATTTTAGCGTACAGTACGTACTGTACGTATAGTTCTTTTTCTGGCATCTGATTGACTGGAACAAGTGATCGGTAAAAATTTTAGCGTCAGTACGTCTGTACGCGGCACATCACTACTCGTGACAGTTTATCAAACGTAGAGGATAAATTAATCGTAGTACAGCATTTTAACGTCGTAAAAGCTGCAACACTATCAGATTATTACCCGAAAAATCGAAACCTTTTCATTTTGAGTTCGGGGAGTTCCGGTTTTAAATTACATAATTTAGATGAACAAATGGATAATCCAATTTTGCTAATTATTCGGATTATTTGATTGTCTGTCATGGTTGTATTCTATTGGATATTCAATCAACTATGTAAATCAAAACTGTGTTGTATCATGTTAAAAATCTTAAATAAGCAATTTTATAAGATATACCACATATAATTTGATTTACTGTATATAGTTGATCGAATATCCTTGTCTTCCATGACGAGAAGTTCCTACAAAAGGACAACTAGGAAACAGAAACTTTGCAAGTATATAAGATTTGCTGTGTTACTTTAAAAGTGCATCAAAAAATGAAGGTTTAGTATTATTTTACATTGAAATAAAGTTCACTACCACGTTCCGGACAATTATTATTTTAATTATCCGGTTTATCCGATTACGTATCTATTTACTCCGGTTAGAAATTTATTCAACTCCATCTAAAGATATAATGATAAGCTTTATATGCGATTATAAATCTGTAATTAATCTAAAATTAGATCTTGTATAGGGGATGTCCATCCTATCATCCTGCTTAAACTGGCTTTGAAATTCTCCCGAACATTCCTGAAGCATATACATAAACCGGTTCCGAACTAGCGCCCCTTAAACATGTGCCAAATTAAAAATTTTAAATTATTGAACTTTAATATTATTATATATAGGGTATAATACCCGGTATAATACCCTATATTAAGTTTAGAGTTAGGGTTAAAAACAAAATTGTATTTGTGTAAGCTAGGGTGCTAAACATTTTTATTTGGAACTAAATTAGTTTTCATAGTAAAGGTGTTACCAATTTTTTTCATATACAGATAAATTATCTTCTGGATATAATAAAATTCTCTAATTATTTTACCTAATAATTTCATGTACAAAGTGCAATAGCAAAATTATAAACTTTAATAAAGTGAAACATTATTTCTTAAATTTACTTGATTCGTGTATTTTATTTCGAAAAAATACATTTCCCCTCATTTCTTCATGACCTTTAACAAATAATATTATTGTTATTCAAATTCAAAAGAATTACTCATACGCTCCTTTTTTTTTTTTTATAACGTAATTCAAAATTTTTACAGTTCGAATTGTATGATAACAAAGTTCTCAATTAAATACGCGAAATAATGAGAAAACATTGGCTTTAATATGTATAGTTAATAAATAATTATTGTACAGTTTATAAAAAAAAACCCCCCTTTAAACGAAAGAATCTCAGCACGAAAAAAAGAATAATAAAGTATTAATGCTCTCCCTAACCTAGACATCAAAAAGGGGATTCACTTTTAAAAGTTAAATTGCTATCATACTTGTCAAATTACCATAATAATGCTTGCACATTCTCTATTTACATGCAAGTTACATATTTCTGTTATAGTATATCTAAAATTTGCAAACTAAAAGAAAATAGAAAACCTGCAAAGTATAGGAAAAGTTGGCGAAGCACAAGTGATTTTATGAAAGCGCGATAAGGTCTAATTTCAGGCACTTTAATTTTATTGAAAATGCACCAATTAAATCTATTCTAATAATCGACGCCAATAATATCCCTAGCGCTAGATCAGGTGTAACATGAAAATTACTATTTTTAAGAAAATTGCTGATAACTCAAAATTTTGTCTATTAAACTAACTTTCTATGCAACAAAAAAATTTTCTTGAAAAAATTTGATAAAGTATAAACCCTACTTCGGTCATACCCCAAGGTTTGTTTTAAAGCATCTACGTATTCGATTGTCAATTATGGATCATCCTATGAGTGCATTTCCAACGGTCCTATTGGAGTAGTCGAAGAATTTATTCTATATACGTATCGTAATATAATGTAACACAACGATACAGTAAATCATTGGGATGTCTAATGCGAGCCCTAGTTACAAACATAGTACAGGTGGTACGTACGTTTGATAATTAATTGGGCGTAGATAGTAAAAACATATGTTTTAAATATAAACAGCGCTTTTTTTTTTACTTAGAAAATTATTGATTTTGTATTGCCAGATTTTATTTTTATAAAAAAATAAAACCAAAAATATTGTTACATTAAAAAGTACATTAAGAAATTCTAATAAATGTATTTTTATTTGTGTACATTTATTAGTTTAAGAGATATTGCAATTTGAATTTACATGTCTTTACTACTGTATTTAAATCGCTAATTTAAAAAAAATAAGTTGACTATACCACCTGCTTGCATTAGACACCCCAATAAATCATGCAAGTGATGGTGGATCGCATAATTGAAAAGAGCAGCCACCCGATTCTATCGCCTCAGAATGCTATCACAGTGAGACCAAAGTGTGGGATAACAGCTAAAAGAATGAGTTTTGGCATGAACTGGCATATGCCTGGCGTAGAATCAAATACGGGAAATGAGTAAGTATCAGAATCAGTTAAGTCTGCCAGTGCCTAAAAAAAAAAATAATAAAAAGCGAGCAATTCTCACAAAAGAAGCAATCGTAATTGCATTGGAAACCACCGTAGGATTAGCTGGTGGACAATTTCTCTCCTGCTGAAGCAAGCCAACTATAAGTGAAGAAATAATTGAATCATATTTTCCTTTCTTGAAGTGGGTTAGGCTGGTCGCGAGAGTTTTTTTCCTGCTAACTTTAAATACAATGTATGTCGTGTAACGTGAACACTTTCTTACGAAAAATATTTTGTATTTACATATTTCATCTATTGTATATATCTCATTTATTTGAGACATTTGTTCGCCGACACGCTTGTAGCCTGTACAATCAATTAGTTCCATTTCATTTGGGGTACCTCGTAATAAAAGGGCCCATTTTGACAATTTTTCAAAAAAAAATTTTTTTTATTTGATTTTTTGAATACATAGATACGTATATATTCAATAAAGTAAGTTTCCTATAGTTACGAATAGTAATAAAAAGATTCACATGTTGAATTTTTATACATGTTTCTATTAGTGCTGTCAAAGAAAAACCTGACATCGGCTTTCAATTATATTTAATATCCAATTTCCGTCTAGGGAAAATCTATCATCGGGCTTTCAGTTATATAGATTTTCTTTAGATGGCACTCAGGCTGATGACAAGTTTTCCCACACATATTTGATTTTTATTTAGCTTGATAACTTTTACCTTTAGCTTTCACTTACTAGTTTTTACAACTTCAATTTCTTTGGTTTCGCCAATTTCTAGCTTCACCAGTTGCCAGTTTCGCCACTTCACATTTTTAAAATTTTTGGCGAGGTCCAAGTTTCGCCTACTACTAATAACTATAAACTTGAGTTAAACATTTCGACGTGTTATGACTCGGTTCAGTAATCAAATAGGCCAAGCCTGATAATTCAATTTCAAGCTGTAGTATATCAGAATATCGGTATATGCTGTGTTTTTTTCATCCCGGTTCATTAGAGTTTTTCGTTTGACTGGGCAGTTTGAACCGGGTCAAGGCAATTGGCTCGTGATCAGTCAACTTGATCCGAGTAACAGCTTTACTACTACCAAAAAAATCAGTTATGTTTAAACTCAACATTATAATTCTGTTTGGTTTTGTATAACAATACTTGTGTGATGTTACTTTATTTTATAGTACTTAATTGTATATATTGTCACTAGGGTTCCAACCTCTAACCGAATAATTGTGTACCCAATTACCCAACTCAAAAAAATTACCAACCGGATCATGTTTTTGAAGAACTTATTCAATATATAATAACCCCCAATATTTATGATCATCAGCAATTGCACTTTCGTCAAATAGTTAGTAATAGTTATTTCCTGGGCAGTTGGGTATAAGCGGGGCTGAAAGTCCCGCTTATCACATAGTGCCCAGGACATAACTGATTTATGCCCTGCGATCTTGATATAGTGACCAGGGTATAATAAAAATTATTTACCACTCCAATTTTATTTTACCAGCATCTTTAGTCAAGATTATTTACTGATATATATATCAGCTTTGCTAATATAAAGTTTTACCTGCTCTAGATTTAATTAGTCAATAACTATCTTCTATTAGATCTATTTTAATCAGATAACTGGTTTTAATTTTAGGTACTCAAAAATTGTTAATCCAATAGGTTACGAGTAGAGATTTTTAAACCAAATTAGAACCCTAATTGTTATAGGCTAAAAGTAAATTTTCTGAAATTGAGTATAGTAAATTCTATGATCATTTTTTAAAACACTTTTACTAAAATGCACCTATAATCTATGCTACAGTGTTTTAATAGTTAGCTAATTAATTAGCAAGCAACACTCCAGTAAGAATGTTTTACATCCACAAAAGCTCTTTCAAAACCCTATTCTAATACTAACCTTAACATAAAAAATTTAAGCTAGTAATTTTATATACAAAAAAATTTATAAAAATTTAGAAATTTATAAAAAATATAATAAACCACCATAGGTGCATTTTATAATAAATGCTTTAGAATATTTAATTATTATGGTAGCTTAGAGATTATTACCGTATGCCACTGCTTACAGTATCTCTCTCGAATAATATTCTACTACATAAAGTGCCCCTTCTCACCAATGAAATTGCTGGATTCGTGAATAGTACCTGGTACTATTCAATTTTAAATTCTTGAATAAGACCCCCGGGTACTGTAAGCAGTGGCATACGGTAATAGAATATTCTAGTACATACAAGTACAAAAGAATATCTATAAAGATATTTCTTAAACAGAGAAAAAATTAACAATTTCTATTTTTTTAAAAGACTGTCTAAACCTATATTGACACACTAGCAAAAAATGTCAGGGATATAATAACGGCTCTAATTCTAATAAAAGCGCCCTAATCCTAATGCTAGTAGATAAATAATTCCGGTTATTTGAATTACACCCTACAATTTTAAAATAAAATTACATAGCTTATATAGTACCTTAAAAAAAAAAAAAAAAAAAAAGGTTAAATCGACAAAAAAGATGCTATTTTCCTATTATCTTTAATAAAAGTTGTCTATCTTTATTAAAAACTATGATATAATAGATCCAATTTCTAGAAAAGCAGATGGTAAACAACATGAAACTCCAATGATGCAGTAACATCCATAATTGATGAGCCAGATCAGATTGCTTTAAGCGGACAGACATTAAATTCTTAAAAATATTGATACAAAAGTATCAGAGCATCCGAACATGGAATGCGGATTTTTACAATCAAATAAATATGTATTTTACTAGAAATTGAATTCGATTAAGGATCACTCAAGTAATCCGAAAATACCTGATTTAGGAAATATCATAATATGATGATCTAACCTTTTTGAAAAAAGCACAGCATTATTTACTTTGTTTAATTTATTACGTATAATAAAAAATATGATTAAAATAAATATATAATAAAGTTGTATAGAAATTTTTTTTAAAAGTATTTTGCATAAAATAATACAATGATACGAAAATATTACTGCATTATTTAGAACTACGTAGCAGAATAAATTTCATGATGCAAAATGTTAATCCTTTCCAAATTATTTTATTAAATTATAAAATGCTAATGATAATAAATTAAACAAAGTAAATAAGACTATTATTTAACTATCTTTGTGAATTTTTGCATCGATTATAAAAAGTACCTCTTTTTTATTAAAAAAAAATTAAATTGTAAAATCGAAATGAATAACAAAGAAATGTTAAAATATCACAAAAATTCAACTTCCGGTAGTTATTATTACAAACAAAAATTTAATTAAGGAATATAAACAGAGATTGTAGAATTTGTAAATAATGTTATTTTGATATAAAACCAATAAAATGGTTTTGTTAAAAAATAAATTTATTACAAATTCATAAATTAAACTTTGTCTTATCTTCCTTAACTCAAATTCTTGTTTATAATAATAACCAAGAAATATGAGTACTGTAAAAGAAAAATTATGTTTTTTCTTTCACAATACTCATATAATTAATATTTAAAATGATAGAAAGGAATAACTAAAAGTTGAGTTAAAGAAGATAAGGTAAATAAAAATAATTTTGTCTAAAAAATTTAATTTTATAAATATATTTTTTATTAATTATTAATTATTATTCTTTAAAAAAAAATAGATTACGAAGTACAATTAAATAATCGAATTAAAAAAAACTTAAGACTACAATATAAAACAAGAAGTAAGTTTATATTATTAATGCTTTTTTTATAATTTATTTTATTAATTTTCTTTTTAAAAAATAGATCTTTCTGAAGAACACAACAAAAAAAAGAAAGTATGAAGAAGAAGAAACATAATTTTTTAAAAAGGTTTATTTAATTTATAAAATGTATATTGCAAATTGTAATATTATATTTTATATTTTTACTAGATTCGTTTATATATTATAAAACCAAGATAAGATTTTATTTTTTACTAAATTGTAATTGAGGCTACAACTAGACACATGTCCGGATGTGATATATTTGATTAGATGAAAACTATGTATTATACTCTGGACCTTAACGTTTTAATAAAACGAATCTTAATTTAGATTATATTAAATCAAAGTTCTTAATTGTTGATATAAAATGAATTAATAACTTTTTTTAAAAAAAATGACAATTCTGCAACCTCTTTATATTGTATTCTATGTAAATAAAATTTAAATGTAAAAAAATGTTATCAAAGAAGGTAAATAATAATACTTGTTATTAATTTAAAGAATAAATTTAGCAATCTTAATTCGCTAAATAAAATCACGAGAAACCAATACAATGTTTTTGTATGTGAACTTCGTAAGAGATTGAGCCTGGTTAAGGATCACATCACGAAGTACATTTTTCTATAAACTTACGTAGTTCTATAAAGTTATATAAATGGTATATAAAATTTTCAGTAATTTTTTTTGTACACCAGTTTTGTGTAACCTTACGTACACCAATTTAATTTTTTAAAAATTAATTTTTTAAATCTTTGAGCGAAGATATCCCAGCATCTATCTATGCAAATTCGATGAATTTTTTTTTATTTTAATTCCAGCATCTCTAGAATTAAAAGAAAAAAAAAGCTCATCGAATTTGCTTAGGTAGTTGTCGAGATATCTTCGCTCAAAGTTAGCAGAAATTCAAAACGCCTATAATAAAGAAGCAGTGACAATTTTTAAAAAACTTTGAGCGAAGATATCTCGACAACTACTTAAGCAAATTCGATAAACTTTTTTTTATTTTAATTATAGAGATTTCTAGAATTAAATAAAAAAAAGTTCATCAAATTTGCTTAGGTAGTTGCCGAGATGTATTCACTCAAAGTTAATAGAAACTCAAAACGCCTATAATAAAGAAGCAGTAACAATTTTTAAAAAAAACACTTTGAGCGAAGATATCTCGACAACTACTTAAGCAAATTCGATGAACTTTTTTTTGGTTTAATTCTAGAAATCTTTAGAATTAAAACAAAAAAATGTTCATCGAATTTGCTTAAGTAGTTGTCGAGATATCTTCGCTCAAAGTGTTTTTTTAAAAATTTTTATTATAGGCATTTTGAGTTTCTACTAACTTTGAGTGAAGATATCTCGGCAACTATCCAAGCAAATGTTTTTTTTTTTTAATTCTAGAAATCTCTAGAATTAAAACAAAAAAAAGTTTATCGAATTTGCTTAAGTAGTTGTCAAGATATCTTCGCTCAAAGTTTTTTTTTTTAAAAAATTGTTACTGCTTCTTTATTATAGGCGTTTTGAGTTTCTATTAACTTTGAATGAATACATCTCGGCAACTACCTAAGCAAATTTGATGAACTTTTTTTTTATTTAATTCTAGAAATCTCTATAATTAAAACAAAAAAAGTTTATCGAATTTGCTTAAGTAGTTGTCGAGATATCTTCGCTCAAAGGTTTTTAAAAATTGTCACTGCTTCTTTATTATAGGCATTTTGAATTTCTGCTAACTTTGAGCGAAGATATCTCGACAACTACCTAAGCAAATTCGATGAACTTTTTTTTTCTTTTAATTCTAGAGATGCTGGAATTAAAATAAAAAAATTCATTGAATTTGCATGGATAGATGCTGGGATATCTTCGCTCAAAGATTTAAAAAATTTTAATTTTTAAAAAATTAAATTGGTGTACGTAGGTTACACAAAACTGGTGTACCAAAAATTACCGTTATTTATTTTTAGTTATTTTTTGTTCCTTGTTGAAGACAAAAAATTCGGGTTTAAAAAGTTGAATTAAATTTTGATCTTTATTCTTTGGCAAGATCCATTTTCGTTCAAACGAAGGTATTTATTTATTTTTGTTTCTTGTTGAAGACAAAAAATTTGGGTTAAAAAATTGAATTAAATTGATTCCTATTCTTTGGCAAGATCCATTTTCGTTTAAACGAAGGTATTTATTTATTTTTAATTATTTTTTGTTTCTTGTCGAAGACAAAAATTCGGCTATAAAAAATTGAATTAAATTTCAATTCCTATCCTTTGGCAAATACATATTCGTTCAAACGAAAGCATTTATTTATTTCTAATTATTTTTCCTTGTCGAAGACAAAAAATATATAAACAAATATAAACATATGAAATTTTTTACTTGGATTTCATTTATCATAATTCTTCATGCATTCTCGACAAATGTTAATAATATCTTGGTTGCTTGAAATCCTAACTTGAGATTTACTTTTAAACCAGTCGACAAATTCTTGGTCATATTTAACTTTTTTTAATAGCGGCACCTGTTCAAATAATATGGGCATCCATCAATAGAAATCAAGCAAATCTACATTTGAAAAAAAACCAATGCCTTAACTTTCACAGCTCATATCTTGATGAATTTTAAAGCTATCTTGATGATATAATATTCAAAAGAAAGCTTAGATTATAAGCTTTCTTTTGAATATTAAATCATTAAGATAGCTTTAAATTTCATCGAGATATGAACTGTGAAAGTAAGGCATTGGTTTTTTTTCAAATGTAGATTTGCTTGATTTCTATTGTTACAGGGTGATTTGTATCCTTTGAGATAAAAATACAAAAATAGATAGTTTTTAGGTGATAAGGCAACTCGCCAGAGGCGTGATGATGGTGATTTAGCAATAGTTTAGTTTTAAAATGTTATTATCAAGGTGATTTATTCAATGTTATATGTAATAGTATTAGAATCCCGTAGGACCTAACTTTACAAGAGAGAAATTACAGGGTTTTTATAACTTTCACTATCCTAACGATCTCAAGAGGCTTTGGGATAAATTAGATAAATCAGATCTTTCATCACGAAAGATTAAGGAAGGATCACTATAACTAAAGGGGCTTACAAAGATAAATACAACATGATAATTATAATGAAGGCTTTGCCTTTACAACATTTTCTATTTTAACTATTTTTAATTATTCATAATTCTTGTTTTCTTCTTTTTAGATCTCATTTGATCTTCTTGGAATTCTTCTTCAGATTTCACGTAGGTTATCTTTCTGTTATTTAGCCGGTAAGCCTCATGCACTAGTTGATCTGGAATTCTGATGATCGATCTGCTTGAAGTCATGAGTTTGCTGTGCTGATTTATCGATCTTTCATTTAGCCTGTGACATTCGCCCAGACCTATTTTATGCATATCAGGCATAAATATCTAACTAAAAATATAATATAAGTACATAATAATAACAATATAATAAAATAATAAATAAAATAAAATAATATAAAGAAAAAAAAAAATTCTTATTCTGATATTTCATCCCCTGAGTGGCCATCACGTATCCTATATGAGATCAGTACTCTAGGAAGGATAGCTCCACTCACTGGTATCGAACCCAGGTTACTCTGCTACCAGAGTGAATATCCTAACCAGTAGTCTACATCAGAATAATTACCAAATTTTGAAAATTAACTCCTTAAAAATATTATTTGTGTATCTTGATTATCCAATTGTAAAATTTTTCTTCATGTGATCTAAACTTTAAATTCTTGTTTGATTATCTTCATAAAATAATTTTTGATCTAAAATTTTAAAACTTTTAAAAAAAAATAATAATAATAAAACACTTTTAAAAATGCCTCGTAGCCAAAAAGGAAACAATAACCGATATCCAAACTGTCAAAAGTAAGAATATAATAATCAAATAAATTAATAATAATAACTAATATAATTTTCATATAATAGTAAGAATGTAGATAAAGGTAAACAAAAAGAAGTAATCGAAGATGTTGAAGACGTTGAAAATGTGAAGAATGTAGAGAAAGACTGGTAAACAAAAAAAAGTAATCGAAGATGTTGAAGACGTTGAAAATGTGAAGAATGTAGAGAAAGACTGGTAAAAATAATAATAATAAATATTATAACTTAAAATAATACTAAAATTAATTTAATTTAATAAGTGGAGTAGATGGGTTTCAGAGAAAAATGAGAAGAATATGATGTTTTGGTTGGAAGAGAAGAATAGAAGATTGGAGAAAACTTTGGACGAAGTAATAGAATTGGGAGAATTTAGATTGGAGGTTTTAAGAGGGATGTTGAAAGATGAACAAAGAAGATATGAGAAGTTGGATATGGAAAAGAGAAAATTTGAGTTGGGGTATAATGTATTGAGGAGAGATATGATTGAGGTGTTAGGTACGATAGATAGGAGAAAGGAGAAAAGTAGAGAGAGACAAAGGTTGAGAGAAAGGTACGATTTAGCAGAATTTGGTGAAAAAGTAAATGATGAAGAAGATGAAGAAGAAGAATATGAAAGTGAAGAAACAGAAGAGGAAGAAGAAGAAGAGAAAAAAGAAGAAGTGGAAGATTATGAAGTTTGGTTGGATGATAAGTTAAGAAAATATGAGGCGATGTTAGAAGAGGAGTCAGCAAGTAAAGAAGAAGAAAGTAGTTTCCCGATGGTATTAACAGATGAAATTGGTGAGAGTAGTACACAGTGTTTGGAGGAGAATATAGATGAGGATTATATGTGGGAGGATTAGATTTCATTTCTTTGTTTCTTTGTTTCGCTGGTTATATTTATAATAAATTTTTATCTTTTAATATTTTTCTTTTCATTAATTTTTAAATCTTCTTTTAAATCGTATCTAAATCAAACTCCTAACTAATTTTAAATTTAAATCCTCAAAATCTTATTAGTAAAAAAATAATATTACAAAAGAAAAAATTCAAATTATAATCTTTATATACTACTCTCTCGCTTTATATAATTCTTCTATAATTATATCATTTAATCAATTCGATTAAATTTGAATTTTCTAAACTATTTATCATAATAGTTAAATAATCACAATTTTTCTATTAAAAGAAATCTTAGCAAATATATGCTTAATAATTTAAGTATTTATAATTTTGTTTATATATTTTAACAGTTAAATATAAAAAAATAATAAAATATTAACTTATCTTTAAATTCATTATATTAATAAATAAAATAACATCTCTTGACTTCCAAGACATTGAATTCTCGTTAATAATTCTTCAATTCATAAGTAATTTCTTATTCATTTTCGTTCGATTATGATCTTTATTACATGTAATATATTTTTTTGTATTAAAGAATTATATCTCTTATCAGTTAATACTTGAATTCGAATTTGAACTGATTTTTGAATGATCAAGTTTAATTTAAATTCATCTTCCCAATTTATTTTATCTAAGTATATATAATAATCCAAGCTTAAATGCTCATCATTATGCCGTTAAATCTTTATGAGCTTTATCCTGACTTAATTTAAGTGCAACGGCACTATTTCGTTTATGTGATCGAATTTGAAGTTTACTCAGATATTTTAATTTACTTTACATTTTGATCTATTCTTGCATTGGTTGATTCTTTTTAAGTTCGTACTAATTATAAATTTATCTATTATCGTATACCATCTTGACAATAAATATTAGATCTATTAGAAAGAATTATATCTATGTATTGAACTACTAATTATATAAGGCAATCAGAAGTGCTTTCATCAAACTAAAGATATAATCTACTGCATATTAAAATAGTCAACACTTCATCATACATATTATTATAATAATGTTGTCATTTCAATTATCAAAACTATAAATATCTGCTGCTATTATATACAATTGTTTATTTAATACTTCAGGAGTAAAATTCCATAAATATTATCTTCTTTCTTTCTAAATAATCTTAAGTCTGTAATATAAAATGTTATATTACCATTGATACATTGATTCTGTAATATATTGCTGCTATGATGAATATATTCAGCTTTGTGAATTTCCCTCAAACTACATTGCTAAAAAAATACTAATTCAAATTCCTTTTCAGCGATCTTTTGAACACTATATATTCTATTAAAAAGATCCATTCGATCATAATTTATAATTTGTGGCTTTAAGTTAAAATTCTTTAATTCAATTATCGATATCTTTACTTCCACTCGTTCATCCTTTGGAGGGTCACATGATTGATACCAAATTGGCATCTATTGTATTTTACTAAATTTTCGTGCCTTCCAGACTAACATATACTTGTTCATTGAAGTATCTTCAGTTAATTCTTATACTTATATAATGTTCAATTAATTAAATAAAGTATGATAATATATTTAACTTATTAATATATAATTATAAAGTTTATTAATAATAATAAATAATAATACAAGTTTCATTGTTCATGATAATCATTATGTTGTCATAATGTATTGTCTACTATTAAGATAGTAATTTAGACTGATTCATATCCTTTTTCGCTCTTTCTCCTTTCTTTCAATTTTCTTTATCTAGAATAGTATTTTTTTAATAATTTTCTATTTATAGGAGTTTTTATTATTTTTCCATCGATGGATCGTAACTTGTATACTCCTTTTCTAGAACCTTATAAACCACAAAAGGATCCTTTCACTTCGGATGAAGTTTATGGCTTTTTGAATATTGTTGAAAAGCCTTATATACAAGTACTTGATCTCCTTTTTTAAATTCTTCTATAGGTAATAAGTTTTGATCATATCTTCTTTTAGCATTTTCTTGTGCTTTCTCAACTCTTTTAACAGCTTTATTTCTTTCTTTAAGTAATACTTCGATTAGATTAAAAAGTCTTTAAAGAAATGTTCTTTCTAACAATTCTTTATTCTCATAAATATAGATAGGAAATCGGGCTTCTCTCCCATATATTAAATAAAATGGAGTAATTTTTATCGTATTCTGTTTAGCAGTTCGGTATGCGAAAAGTACCAAAGGTATCATTAAGTCCCATTCTCGGACATTTGTTATTAATTTAGAGATTGATTCACAAAGTGTTTTGTTAAATCGCTCTACTAATTCATTTGTTTGTGGATGATAGGGTGTTGAATAATGGTAAGTAATAGCGAATTTCTTTAAAAATTCATCTATTAGATTATTGCGGAAATGGGTTCCTCGGTTAGATAGGAGGTATTGTGGACATCCATGTCGACACATGATGTCTTCATAAATGAAGTCGGCTACTTCTTGAGCATTGGCATTCTTGATTGCCCTTGCCTTAGGCCATTTGGTCATGTAGTCTGTAGCAACTACTATGTACCTATTACCTTTAGGAGTTACAAATAATTTTCCAACAATGTCAATTCCAATTTTATAAAATGGAGCTTTGACCGGAATTGGATACAATGGAGGCTTTGCTAAATTCTTTTCTCTTCTTTAACAGGCATCACAAGTATGAACGAATCGTCGAATATCGGTGTACATCTGAGGCCAATAATATTTATTTCTTACTTTGTTAAACATAATATCTACCCCAAAATGTCCTCCTAATGGATAGGTATGTATTAAGTATAAAACTGATTCAACTTCATATTTTTGAATCACTTTTAATAAATGATTACTCTTATGTTTATTTTTTTTGTATATTAAACCATCCTTTATGATGAAGAATTGACTTTGGGCTTGAAGACTTCGTTGTTCTTGTGGAGTTAAAGTTCTTGATAATGTATGTTCTTGAAGATAATTTTTCAACAATTGATATCTTAGTGACTCCATTTTCCTAATTTTGCCAGGACACCGACTACCTGGACCAGATTAATTTTAATGTCGGATTTCCTTGAAAATCTTGTAGATTCTTTTCTTCTGGATTATTTAATTTCTTTTTAGATTTGACTTTCTTTTTAAATTTTCTATTCAACTTCTTCTATTACTTAATTTTAATAATCTTTTTTAATTACACTAATCAGGTTCAATCTCCCGCAGTACTTATTTATGGTAGCTAACCCCGCCAGTACCAGGCTTGATATGCATATTATAGGTTTGAACACACCCTCAATTTTTACGTAGTACCTATTTTAGCATAAGCTCTGCCGGTACTAGGCTTGATATATGATTTACAGGCAGAGTACCTCTTTTTTTTTTTTTTTTTTTTTAACTTTTATTTTTAGTCTGCTAGTGTAATTTTTTAATTAGTTAAATAAATTTAAAATTTATTTTTGTAGAATTTCGATTGAAGTTCTTGACAATTTAATGTTTTGTTTATAAATTTCTTTTTGTCTTAACTTTGTTTGATTTTTTTAAAACTCTTTTTAAGTTCAAATTTTTCAAATTTTAAATTCTTTTCTTTTTGATATATTCTTGATAGTGCATCAACATTCAAATGTTTTCTTCCAGCACAGTGTATGATTGAATAATTATAAGGCTGTAACCTCAAAATCCAACGGGCTCTCTTTCCTTTAGGTTCTGGGGTATGGAGCCATTTTAGAGTGGCATGGTCTGTAATTAAGGTGAAATGTTTTGCATCCAAATAATAATGGAAGTGTTCTACAGCCCACACAATGGCTAAACACTCTACTTCTGGGGTGGAATAATTTCTTTCTATTTTAGAAAGTCCACGACTAGCATATGCTACCACATATTCTTTGTGATTTCATCTTTCTGGGCTAAGATAGCTCCTAACCCTACACCGGACGCATCAGTATGTAGGTAAAACTCTTTCTTAAAATTTAGGTACCTTAAAATAGGTGCTATCATAAGGTGTCATTTTAATGTTTTGAATGCTCTTTGCTGATCTTCATTCCATTTATATGGAACATCTTTTTCTAATAGTTTATGAAGGGTCGGGCTATCGTAGCGAATCTGTTAATAAATCTACGATAATATGAAGTTAGTCCAATAAATTGTCTAAGATTTTTTAGTATGGAAAATTTTTTTATCTTTCTGTTTTAGACTCATCTGGTCTTACCCCGTCCTTATTAATTACATGTCCCAGGTAATTAATTTCGGATTTGAAAAAGGTACACTTCTCTGGGTTTAATTTTAACTTAGCTTTTCTTAATTTACTAAATATAATTTTTAAATGTTCTAAGTGCTCTTCAAAAGAATTTGAGTATATATTAATATCATCAAGATATACTACAGCGAAATTTCCAAGACAATCACCAAGAACTTGATTCATAAACCTTTGAAAAGTACCCGGAGTATTACAAAGACCAAATGGCATTACCTTAAAGGCATAAGTACCATATTTTGTTATAAAAGTGGTCTTTTCAATATCAACTTCACTTGCCAATATCCACTTATTAGGTCTAAAGTGGAAAACCATTTAGCTATTCCAAATGTATCTAGAAGGTCATTGATAAGTGGCAGAGGATATATATCCTTTTTAGTTACCGAATTAAGTTTTCGGTAATCCACACAAAATCTTAGTTTTCCATTTTTCTTCGGTACTATTACTACCGGCGAAGCCCAGGGACTATTTTTTCTATTATTAGTCCTTGTTTTAATAATTTATTAATTTCTTTTCTTATAAATTCGTTTTCTTTATAAGCATCCCAATAGTAGCTTTGTCTTATTGGAACGGCGTCTCTTGTATTAATGCTATGAGTCATAGTATTTGTGCACCCCATATCTTCAATACTTAAAGCAAATAATTTTTCTTCTGTAAGCAAAAATTCTTTTGCTTTATCTTGTTGTTCTTTGGTTAATTCTTCGTTATTAACCATTTCTTCTATTAATTCTTTTATAGATTTTCCTTTTTCTTTATTTTCTTTATTTTTCTTTGTAGGTACTTCTTCAATATTGGTGAGGTATAACGCGAGATTTTCTTCTAGTAGTCAACTTTCGATGTTTTCTTTGTCGAATTCTTCTTCTTCATAGTCGAATTCGTCGAAAGTGTCCCCACCTTCACTATAGTCATCTTCATTTTCATGTGGTTAAGACTTTCAATACCATTATTTGAGATTTGTATTTCTGCTGATCTATTAGCATATTGTAAGTATAGTTTCTGTTCATCAAAATGAATTCTGGCTTTAGTCTTTTGGAACCAATCAGTTTCTAATA